ATAAAAATATAAATTAAAAATTGAAAACAAATATTGGTGAAGCAGTAAAAGTAGATTTAAATAACAACAACTCTAAATTTCTAATTTTGTCGTTGAACACTTTTTTTCATATTCTCTGTGCAAGACGATATATTAAGCTTATTACAAAATATGATGTTCAGAATAAGAAAGAAAGAAGTTCAAAAAAATTCTTCATTCTAAGAGAAGCAAAAATTTTCCAGGAAGTTGAAAATCTATAATTGAAATCTGAAAAAGAAAAGTAGAAGGAGAAAAAAAAAAAACGAAATAACTTTTCAAGAGGTTTTTTTGAACAATTGTCTTTCAACCAAAAGAACAGCAGCAGCAGCTTCTTATGGAACATGCAAAAACACACTAAACATTGGTGTTTTAAAACACACCGACTATTTTGTCCATTTATGTCCATATGCGTGTCTCCGTGTGTTTGTTGTTGGCTGTCTGAATCAACGTCACTTGTTCAAACATTTATTCCATCGACCAAAAAATAATACCTATTGTACCTAAGCAACACAACTTTATTGTTTTTCCCTTTTTTTTCAACTTCTAACAGGTCAAAATAGCAACCTAATAGCGCCCAGTATTTTATGGAACGTTAAATTGAATGCCAAAGAAAAAACCCTGAGAGTGTTCACATCGAATCGCCAAACAAATAGATTGTCTTTTTTTTGTTTTTGTTTCTACAGTTTTTTATTTATTGGTTGACCAGCAATGGCCTCAAAACAATGCTTCCGTAGAGATGACCAAAAATCACTTCTATTTACCAGTTCAGTTCAACTGTATTGCAAACAGATTACATGCGAATGTTAATGGCAGGCGCAAAAAGTTTGCTGGACTTTGGATCAACAGAAATCGATACAAATATTTTAGCCCACAAATAACTGGCAAAGCCAATAATGGTACACGAAAAAAAGATAGATGTAAATGTTTATTTGAAGTTGATCAAATAAATTGGAAAAAACTTTTTTATGCTCTCCTAATTTCTAGTTAAACTAGGCATTCAACATTGGGTAATTTTGACTTTTCATATCGCCCACCTACTGGGTCCTCAGTTTTCCTCAGCTTAGCTGAAACAACAAAGTCTATGCTTATAGGCCCTTCTAATCGTCCTTTCAATTCAACAATTCGACAGTTGTAATCCTTGACCTTAGCGCTTATAGTTAACAGTTTGTCACATCAAATAGTACTGAACATTTTTTGCTTTACTCTTTTCTTCGCTATCTGTTTTTTTGCTCTCTCAAATGAATAAAAAATAGCTTGTCAATAATTTTCATTCAAATAGTTTTTTGGTAATAATTTTTTTAATAGCTATCTGAAAATGTCTATCAGAGTAAATGAAGTTTGTGCTTCAAAAAGAAAGGAAAAAAACAGGAACGAAAAAAAAATGGCTGAGGCAGCAACAACAACAACAACAACAACAACAAAGATGGTGATAATATTAAGATTGGTACGTCGATGATATTCATTTAACAGATGAGACAACTCATCCAATATGTGTTTCTGTTGACACCAAAGTCGTTTTTTTTTTTCCTCCTCACATTTTCTCTTCTCCATGTTTCTCAACATTTGGTGCTGTTCAATCATTTGTCTTATCAGCAAACTTTTTGGCACCAGGCCTACCACTCAGGTATAAACAGTATCCAAAACAACGAAAAAATGATGATGAGGAAAAATTTTTTTTCTGCAACAAACTAGAATGGTAACCAAG